TTGAAGTACTAAAAAGATTTAGTGAAAAAATTAGGAAAAAAAGGCCACAGTTGTGGAGCGATGGATGGCTGTTGCACCAGGACAATGCACCCGCTCACACGGCACTGTCTGCCAAGCAGTTTCTGAACAGTAAAAATATTACTGTGATGGGGCATCTTCCTTATTCACCTGATTTGGCTCCATGCGACTTTTTTTTATTTCCTAAAGTTAAATTTTGCTTAATGGGAACCCATTTCACCCTAGTTGAAGAGGTTCAGGCAGAAACGAAGAATCTCCCGAAAGGACTACCAAAAACCACGTTTCAGAACTGTTACCAGCAATGGCAGCACCGAATGCAAAAGTGTGTGAATGCTGAAGGGGACTACTTTGAAGGTAATAATGTCACGGAGAACTGATTCTACAGGTACAATGATTTATTGGACCAGGCTCGTTACTTTTGGGTCACACCACGTATACTGCAATAAACTAACATTTGACTTTAGTTTTGTCCGGATAACATAATATCAGTAGGCTCGATAAGTATTGACCGATTTGTTTAACTAATAATTTTAATAACTAATAATATCGTAATTATAAAATGTATTCCTATCCTTCTCTAAGATAACGCGAGAATACTAGGAAATTCGGGGCGAGCATCGCGGCACGTAGACACATAGCATTGCGGAATTTTTCCATACAGAATTATATGTATACATTTATTACAAAAATGAAAATTATACATAAATCTTGTTTTGAATGAATTAACTTAACATTTGATTGATTTTGTGAAACATATTACTCACTTCAAATCGAAAATATAAAATAATTATTGCAAATTAGAAACGTATATACATATATATCGGTTATCGACTGTCGAACTAAATACATAAGATAATTGATATATAATATACTGTCGGTAATAGTCTAATACTGTCGGTAATAAAACTATTCTTACGGCGGGTAAATGGATAGAACACAGAATTGCCAAGTTGGGGACGAAAACAAAAAAAATTATGCCAGGGATGTTACGCTTGCTTCAACAGATACGTCCGTGCTTTATAACATTATGTTCTGTACGATATTAACTCTTTCGCTACTAAAGACTGTAGATATCTATATCAACATAACATGATCACGGGAGGTTCACCTCAAAATCGCAACACCCATAATCCCAACAGCCCAAAATTCCGACGATTTAAAATATCAACAGCCAAATTCGAGAGAAATCGCGTGTATTTTTTTCCACGAAGGGATATCTTCCAAACTTGCTGCAACCCCGTAGAGGACGCGGAGAAGCGTGGAATAACTTGTTAACTCCATTTTACGAATATACTCACTATTTAAAACCTTGCCTGTGAGGCGGTCGACCATTACACTCGTCGAATCAAGAAATATATAAAACTAACCTAACTTTACCCAACATTGCCTGTTCACTGTATTTGATGAACATACTCATTACTTAAAACCTCACATGTGGTGCGTTGGATGAGTATACTCGGGATTATGGCAGTCAGTATGTTGACTGCCGGGGCTATAGCTTATCAGGATTTGGGGTGCCACCAGATGATGAAATACTACGGACGGGTATAGACGACAAAATATTAGAAATACAAATTAGAAACATTAGAAATAAAACAATATTAAAAAGTCATTAGTTTCAATGCTCTCATTAAAGTTATTTCAAATATATTTAGATACTAATTTAGATCATTTTTATTGCCTAGCGTTATAAGCTAAAAAGAGTATCTGTTCCGAACGTGCTACGGAACACAATACGCGAGGATTTCGTAGGTAGTTTATGATGGGTCCGGGTAACAGTTATTTTTGAAAGACAGATTTTTAGCCATCGACGGCAATTTAGTTTTACATTTTTTCGAACAATGCCTTTAGAATTTCTAAGTTTCATTTAGTCTTCAATAACTACTCCGTCATAAACAGGGTTTTCCCAAGGGTCACCGAGGATGGGCCTCGGTTCCGTCCTAGCGGTACTTTTTAGGACAACGTGCGTGTCACCTGGAGGGAAAAACCCCGGCGTTGCCGGCCTTCGAGATCCTCCCGTACTCATCGGTATCTTTTCCCACCCTCTTCCAAAAAAGGCGCGCTCAGGGCGCAAGAGAGGGTGGGCCCAAGTCAAGGGGCATGTTGATTGGAAAATCAACGTTTCTAATGAGAACCAATCAGCATGCCTCCTTGCACTTCCGACGTTTCGAGGAAGTAACGACGGAACGTCTCGTCAGAATTCCAACATTAGTCATCCGAATCGGACTAAAAAGAATCTCAAGATAAGTCACCTAAATCGGACTTAGAAATTTCACGAGTCATTCGCGACGGACTTATCAATTTCACGAGTCCACCGTTTAGGACGTCTTCGAGTCAACCGTTCGGACTCATATTCAATTATTATTCAACGGATTAATTTCTGTTGAATAAACGTGCGCGAGTCAGCACATTTTATGGTCCTTCGAGCCGGATCCGCGATCTGTGGAGTGCAGTGCGCAAACGAACTATATATAGTGCCACGTGTGTTTTTTGTCTTGCGTTTCGAAAAAGACAATTAACCCGCTCAAGAAGGCCACGGTGTCTTACGATCTGCAAGCGCCAACTCCTACCAAGTGGGTCCATCAGCATCAGGAGATCATCGCTCGGGATCGACTATTTTGGAGTGGACCACCTGTGCCTGGAAGCTGTACTGCCGCCTTACAACCGGAACTACAGGTCAACAGCGACGATTCGAGCTCAAGACGACTCCAGCACGCAGAATCCAGCCAAAGGTAGGCTCGTTATTACGAATTACCAGTCAGATCCCTCGTACATTTTCTCCTTTCGCACTTCGTTTCCGTTGTTCCTAATTTTTTCCAATCTCGGTTGAAATGGCTACCTCAGACAGTTCCAATAAAACCGACGCGCATATTGAGGAACTTCCGACGCGCATATTGAGGAACTAAAGCATAAACGGCGTACTTTCAAGTCCCAATGTACCATGTTTGCTAAATACATTGAGAAATACCAAGACTCCCGTAAAGAACGCGCTAAACTACGTGATCGAATCGAGCGGCTGCGTAGGCAATTTATTGCATTTAACGCGATTCAAGACGAATTAGGGATGCTCGAGAATTTCGAAAAGGCAGAAGAGGAGCGCGAAACGACGACCGACTTTTTCGATGATATTATTGCGACCGCGACAGTAATATTAGAAAATGCAGAGGGAACCGTAAATCCAACGCTGCCGTCGGAGGAACAAATTTCACAAGGATCGCCCGCGTTAAATGCCTCACGGTTTTCATTGCCAGTCAATTTACCCAAGATAGATTTACCCAAGTTCGACGGACGGATTGAAACTTGGGTTACATTTAAAGACGCGTTCCATACGTTAATTCACACGCAACCGGGTCTTAGTGGAGTCCAAAAATTGCATTATTTGAAGCGTCAGGTGCTTCCGTATTAACCCTCCGGTAACGAAATATATTATGGGCAATCTACCTGCTACGCGCATTTCGGAAAGCAGGCCCTTTACTAATTGCGGCATCGACTACTGCGGTCCGTTTTTCATAAAGGAGCGACGCGTGCGAAACCGCTCCCGTATTAAAATCTATGTCGCGGTATTTATTTGTTTCGCAACCAAGGCCGTGCACCTTGAGGTGGTCAGTGACATGACCACGGAAGCTTTTATTGCCGCATTCAAAAGATTCATCGCGCGAAGAGGAATATGTCGAAATGTCTATTCGGACAACGGGACAAATTTCGTAGGGGCGAATAAAGAGTTACTGGACATACAACGAAAACTTCAAGAGGACGAAAAGGTTCGGCATTTTTTGGTGGATAAGCGAATTTCATGGCATTTCATGCCAGCCTTGTCACCGAACTTTGGGGGTTTATGTGAGGCCGCCGTTAAATCTTTTAAGAATCACCTGAAACGCGTCGTCGGTGAGGAATTGTTTACGTTTGAACAATTCAACACGTTGGTCATCGAGATCGAGGCTATCCTTAACTCTCGTCCTCTCGTTCCATTATCCTCTGACCCTAACGATCCCTCAGCCTTAACCCCTGCCCATTTTCTGATTGGTAATTCTTTAACGAGTTTGCCCGAGGTTGATTTTAGCGAAACACCATCGAATCGTCTATCAAAATGGCAACACATTCAGAAGGTGAAGCAGGATTTCTGGTCCAGGTGGTATAAAGAGTATATACACCAATTAAACGTGCGCCAAAAGTGGACCAGAGGCTCGCACGAGATCAAGGAGGGATCCCTTGTTGTCATGAAGGACGATCATCTACCACCGCTCCAGTGGCATCTCGGTCGTGTGGAGAAGATTCATCCCGGTCAGGACAACATCATCAGGGCAGTCACCGTTCGGACTTCCCATGGCAGCTACAGGAGGAACGTGCAGAAGTTGGCTCAGCTTCCGATAGCTGACTCTGAGGAATGCGTCACGGCATCGTAGCATTTCTCGTTTTATATCGTTTTATTGTATTCTTCATTTATCTTATTTCGTGTTTTTTTTTATTAGTTATTCAGCGTGATTTAGATTTAGTATTTTCCGATTAGTTACTGTATTTTGATCGGCAAGGCTCTCAAGGGGGGGAGCATGTTCCGAACGTGCTACGGAACACAGTACGCGAGGATTTCGTAGGTAGTTTATGATGGGTCCGGGTAACAGTTATTTTTGAAAGACAGATTTTTAGCCATCGACGGCAATTTAGTTTTACATTTTTTCGAACAATGCCTTTAGAATTTCTAAGTTTCATTTAGTCTTCAATAACTACTCCGTCATAAACAGGGTTTTTCCCGAAGGGTCACCGAGGATGGGCCTCGGTTCCGTCCTAGCGGTACTTTTTAGGACAACGTGCGTGTCACCTGGAGGGAAAAACCCCGGCGTTGCCGGCCTTCGAGATCCTCCCGTACTCATCGGTATTTTTTCCCACCCTCTTCCAAAAAAGGCGCGCTCAGGGCGCAAGAGAGGGTGGGCCCAAGTCAAGGGGCATGTTGATTGGAAAATCAACGTTTCTAATGAGAACCAATCAGCATGCCTCCTTGCACTTCCGACGTTTCGAGGAAGTAACGACGGAACGTCTCGTCAGAATTCCAACATTAGTCATCCGAGTCGGACTAAAAA